ATGGAGAACTACGTTTGAATTAGCATAGCTTTCTGCGGCTAGGAACTAGCCTGGCCGGCCAGCATCTATGCCTAACTAGCATCGCCATCAATCTTTGCCCTTACCGGGAAGGACGCTGGTGGTGGTACTGCTGCTGCTGATGTTTCTGCTGAAGATGGTGTCGGTGATGGTAATAGTGGACCAAAGTGTTGCCTAAACAGAGTGGTGATGTATAGTTCACTAGAATACTGCTGGTTAAGATGGTGGCACTCTTTAGTGCATGTAGGGCACCGCAGACACTGATGCTGGCGATGCTAACGATGATATGGTGAAATGGTGGCCAACTGACTGACACTCTACGTGTTAAACTGACCGGTGCCTGGCGGCAATGGCCGAACAGCGGTCGAACAGCGGTCGGACCACCAGCCACGAACAGGGCAAGTCGAGTAAATCACTGGTATTCACTGGGCATCTACAGTGTCTGGGCAGAAGACAGCACTAAGCTGCTGAAGTCGGTTGCCTCAAATCCTCAAGTAGAATCTCCTCTTTCACCCTCAAAACCTTTTCTTTGTTTATCGCAGTAAACGAGAGAGTAAATCCGTTTGCCACAGTTTGCTTTCTTACAAACAACTACAGACAAAAACTTACCGGAGAACAGACGCACTGCTAAACAGGACACACATGCACTTGCTGACGAGAGCATCTTTCTTTTCTTTTAGTCTAAACAAATCACTTTCTCCCTAATGAAGTGACTGGGTCTCTTTTTCTTTTGCATCAACTTTTATGGTCATCTCAACTCTGCCTCCTAGCCTCCTAGCCCGTAAGTTTTGACAATTTAATTATCTCATTTTTTTGGCATAGTACGAAAGCAATGGTTTCTCTTTTCTTCTCAATCTTTCTGCCTTTTTTTACCACAAGTCTCCTTTTCTCTCTATCTGCTGGACGCAAAGCTAATATTTTGACGTGATGTGTTCACAAGGCAAAAGAGGACCTGACTTGACGTTCAAAAAAGCCTGAATGAGGGTCAGTTAGAATGAGACAAGCAGTGAAGAAGGAAAAAAGGGAGGAAAGATCGTCGTTCAGTTAGTGTCCATTGACGATTTCCGATTGACAGATCTGAGGGGGAGAAAGAAAAGAAAAAGAAGGCGGTTGAAAACCGATGAGATGAAGGCCGCCGTCGAAGTCGACCAAGCACTGCTAGCTGGCAAAACTGTGAGCAATGCCAAAGTCTGTACTGTGCGCTATCACATTACATACTGCCCCCTTGCACTGTCCAAGTTCTGCCCAGGCAGCAGCAGCCTTGGCAATAACCCTTGTGATCGTCCGCCACACGCACCATTCATTTCCCTGGTCTGAAGAAGGGCTGCTGCTGCAGTCGCAGTTGCCTGACAGCACACACACACACATTTGACTTGCACAGCATTCTGAAACCCGAGCCCGACGTCCACGCTAATTTTAGACTTCTCATATGGCTGGGGATTATCTGATGGGACAGACAGAGCAAAGAAAGTAAGAGAGGAAAAAGACAGTGGCAAACGTTGCTGTTCACTTATGGTCGCCACACCATCACACCAGTCACTGTCAACCACAGTGCCCAACACTGAAAACATTTGGCCGATTGGCATTCGATTGGGGCTGCTGCTGTTGCTTCTACAGAAAAAACACAGAAAAAGCTAGATCAGCAGCAATAGCAGCAGTAAGGACTGCACAGACGGCCTCGGTCGGTCAGAGGGTCTTTCCATCGGCAAGCTATCATCACGGCAAAGGAATGCCTCCGCGCTGCAAGGGAAACCGTAGAATTATCGAATTATGCAGTGAACACATGTAGAGTGCGAATGATGATTGAACAGACGGCCAGACTGCCGGTGGAAACTACTACTAAGACCTAGCTGCTAGCCTGTGAAACTGCAATTACACAGGCCCGAAGAGTGCTGCTCCAATTTGCAGAATGCCACAGCGGCACTACCGGTGAAGGGAGGAGGAGGTAGTGCTCGAATTGCCGCTTTCGGCAACAGCCAAAGTGTCATTGTGTAGGTCTCTTCTTCATTCTTCCCTCTCCTCTCTCTTTTCTCGCGAGAACGCCTTTTTCCTCTGTGCATAGAAAGTCCATTAATCAACTTAAACTTTATCAGCTCATCATCATCGCTGCTGACTGTCATTGTCACTGGGCTCTATTACCACCACCACCACAACTACGACGACGACGACGACGACCACCTCTGTTAGTCTGCCACGTAGTGGAAGTGTATTGACAAAAAAGTGCACAGGAGGAACACACAGAGGACAGTTTGAAGAGGGGAAATTAATGAGAAGCGGAATTGGAGTAGTAGATCGACTTTGGCGACAAGGCGGCACTCAGGCGGTGGCAATTGCTTGGTGTGTCATGCACAAAATAGTTTGCTCGGCCGCCATCGAGACGCATCAATTGGCTCATTCACGCAGCTGGTAGTGGTCGTCGTGATGTCGGTGTTAGTGCCTCCGGAAATTGGTGTCGCCAGTTTTTCAGTGGTGACCACCGCAGTTCAGCTAAAGTGTACCAACGGTGTGGCGTTGTTTTTGGTGAAAGATCAACTTTGGGCGACCAGTGTTGCAGTTGATGTGATATGCGGTGACCTGTTTTGTTTGCCACTGGTTCGCCAGTGCACAAGTCACATCATGCTGCAACAGAAACAGTGGGCAGTAAAGGTAGCCGAGAGAGCAGAGAACATGGACATTTTTTGCGGGCAAGTGCCAGGCCATCGATCGTGCTCAGCTTAGACCGATTAGCTGTTGCTGCTGCTGAGGTCAATGCCAACAGCTTCAGGACCAGCAGCTCTACTATAACTACTACTACTACAACTTTTACCTTAGACTCTCGTTGTCCATTTAACAAAGGTCTTTCTCTCTCGCAGTCCGACTCTGACCCTCTCACGGCCTGGCCTCAGTCTCCCTTCGCTCTCTCACTCTCTCTCTCACTCTCACTCTCTCTCTCTCTCTCTCTCTCCATCCTGTGTTTTGTCAGATCGAATTCAGCCAGNGCGATTAGCTGTTGCTGCTGCTGAGGTCAATGCCAACAGCTTCAGGACCAGCAGCTCTACTAGAACTACTACTACTACTACAACTTTTACCTTAGACTCTCGTTGTCCCTTTAACAAAGGTCTTTTTCTCTCGTAGTCCGACTCGGACCCTCTCACGGCCTGGCCTCAGTCTCCCTTCGCTCTCTCTCTCTCTCTCCATCCTGTGTTTTGTCAGATCGAATTCAGCCAGCAAAATATTTGTCTGCAATTTCGTGCGACCACTCTCTCACTGTCTGCTTTGGGTGCATTACTGCTGCCCTTCCACTGCCTCCACTGCTACTGCACTTGTTGTTCCCAGCTCAGTTCTCGCAGCACATGTCCTCCTCAGCTGTTCATTCAGCTGCTGCTGACTCGAGGCACACACTTTCACATGGCCACTGCTGAGTAGTAGTGGTGGCTATCTTTAAATGCCCACTGGCCCACCGGAAACCGCTGCCCACTGGACTGCTACTTTCTGCCCTCTTTTTGTCGATCGCCTTACACTTGGTCGCAGCACTCTTTTTCCCTCACACGGTGAGAGAAACTGTAAAGCAAACCAAAAGTCGTTCACCAAGCGATAACGTTCGCATTCCCACCATCACCACCACCAGCATTGGGCAAGTGCAGACAACCTCTCGGGTCCACCAAAACCTAAACGAGTGAGTGAGTGTTGTTTGCAGTCAAGTAAAATAGGCACACACACAGAGAGCGAGAGTGTCATTAAGCAGCATGACAGCACATTACGTCGTGCAGAGAACTGAGAGAACTGAAACAGGCAGCAGCATCTCAAGTAACGCATCCTAAATGTGCGCATCTCGCACTGTCTCGCTTGCAGGCGTAATGGAGACACTGAAGATGGCTTTCTTCTTCTACTGAAACGCGCCGAGTCTTCTGTTCTTTGTCGGCAAAATCAAGTCATGTTGATCCATGAAGTCATGAAGTCGCAAAATGAAGTAGAAGAAAAAGAATGAACAGTCGTCCCTTCGACTTCTTCTTCGTTATACCACTGGAGTCACTAGGCACCGAGCACTTGTGACAAATTGCCAATTAGCCATTGACTTCAGATTGACTTCAGTCGAATCGGAGGCAGGCGGTGTCAAGCCCGCCGATCTATCATCATCGCGACGTGTGTGTATTTGTGTTGTCTTCCCAGAAAATCACTCACTTACTGACAGGAATGACAAAGCGGTGGCCAACTGCTGCTGTTGGTGCCCCGTTGCACCAAACGCCACATTTCACTGGTGGCCCAACTATGCTCACTTTCTTGACGGCACATAAACTTTCAACTAAAACGACCACTGACAGGTGTGAGTATGTGTGTATGTTCCGGGTAGTTACTGATGAGGAATTCGCTGTAAGTGAAAGAATAAAACGGGAGCCTTTTGTTTTACACGACAAAAACAAATTACTCTTTTGCTTGATAAGAGAAATTACTTTTCTCAATTTTAAAATTGACATGATTTTTATTTTTAACAATTTCGCCAGCATTTCACTTTAGAGCGATAGATTACATTTTCCGCTTTACGTCCAATTTTATTTTTTCCCTAACCGCCGGCTCCACCTATTGATATGTAAAAGTACCCTCAGATTAGGAAGGTAAAATTGAGGTTTTAACCTGACGTAATTTAGAACAAAACTGACAAAAATGATCAAGCTTAGAACTTTACAAACTTTATACTGCTTTTATATGCGGCTCAAAGGTGATTCAACTTATTTGTGGTTTTCCTCTGCTGTTATCCTTTTACCGTGCTCATTCCCTTCTTTGCATTGCACCAGACAACACGCATCACTCGAGTGAAGATGCCAAACAACAAGCCCGCTAGTGGTAAGCCACATCGCGACAAATCTCATGGTAAATCACATGGAAAACACCACGGTAAATCCCACGAGAAGCTTCACAGTAAATCTCGCAAAAAATCGCATGGAAAGATGCGCGAGAAAAGCCACGACAAAGACAAGTCAAAAGGCCGCGAACACCGGGGTAAGCTAACCAAGGAGGAGAAAAAGTTCTCCATGGACTCGCAGTTTGGCTCGAAAATCTTTCACAAGCCCGAAGGATTCTTCAAAATGGTCGAGGATGGTAACTCAAAAGGCAGCAGCAGCTCTGCCGCCAGCAAACCAGGCACCAGCTCTGACAGTGGCAGCAAACCAGGCAGCAAGACTAGCTCCAGTCCGGACAGCAGCAAGCCGTCCAGCAGCGAGAACCCTTCCAAGTCGAAGAGCAAGACCAAGAGCAGCCTCCTGCCGGCGCCGAAAAGTCGAAACAGCAAGTCGTCGACTCCCTCCTCAAAGGAGAAGTCTAAGGAATCGATGGGCGGTAAACCGAAGCTGGGCGCCGGCGGCCCACCAAGCAGCAGCACCAGCGGCAGTGCCAAAGACAAGAGCAGCGCCGCCGCCTCCTCCTCAAACGCCTTTGAGGGTGATCCGCACTCGATGGAGAGCCAGGCGACCAATCGCTCCAAGATTCAGCCCAACGAGCGTGGCCGCTTCATGGGCATGGCCGACAAGAGCAAGATCAAGGAGGCTTGCAGCGGCGCCTCCTCAAAAAGCTCGCAGAAGCCGTCAAAAAGCGAGAGCAAGACCGGCAAAAAGAAGAAAAAGTCCGGCGATGAGAAGCTGGGTGGCCCAAAGAAGTCCGCCTCGGAAACGAAGCACGGCAGCAAAGGTGGCAGCAGCAGCGGCTCTGACTCCAATGGCAGCGATAGCGGCGCGGTCAAATCGACCGTCAAGAATGTGAAGAGCAAAGATCACGGCAGCAAGGCCTCTCGCGAGGACTCAAAGGCGAGCCACTCGAAGGGCTCAAAGGCCTCATCGGAAGGCGGGGAGAAGAGCAAGGGCGGCGGCTCCTCAGCTGGCGGTAGCTCGTCGCAGGCGGCGGACGAAGCGGGCAAGGGCGGTACGTCCAGCAAGAGCAGCTCCGCCGCTGGTGGATCAAAGGCCGAGTCATCCAGTGCTGCCGGCGGCGGCAGCAAGTCAAGCGCCGCCGCCGGAGGTGGTGGTGGCAGCAAGGGCGAGGAGACCTCGAAGGAAGGCGCCAGTTCGGCGGCTGGCGGAAGTTCCTCAAAGCAAGGCAGCTCTGCCGCTGGTGAAGGTGGCTCCAAGGCTAGTTCCACTGAAGGAGGTGGTGGATCCAAGGCAGAAGGCGCTGGGTCCAGTGCCGCCGGTGAAGGCGGCAAGAGCAGTGCCGCCAGCGGAGAAGGTGGAGGCGGTGGTGGAAGCAGTGCAGCCTCTCAGCCGGGCAGCAGTGGAGCTGCTGCTTCGGAATCGGCCGGCAACGGCTCCAAGGCTGAAGGTGGTGGCGCTTCCAGTTCAGGAGCGGGTGAAGGCTCAAAGGAGGCTGGCAGTGAGGCTGCTGCTGGTGGAAGTGCTGCCGAAGGAGGCGGCAGCGGTTCAAGTGGCACTGGCTCGAAGCAGTCCGAGGATGGCAAGTCTACTGGTTAGCTGTGTCTTACCACTGGAAACTCCTTTTCCTCGTGGCAAAAATCCACTAGAAGACTACCCCACCCCTTCTTCTTTGTCTTCTAGGCCGACTATATGCCAGTTGAACACTGAACAATTCACTTTTACTTTTTGTAGTTATTTGAAGTTTTATTATTAAAAACTTTACTCATTTTCCCGTTTTGTTGTGATTTGCTTGCGTTTGCCTTCAAAAGATGTCACTAGCTGGGGAGTACATGTGCGCCTAAAATAGCAGCATTCAAATTCACTTGCCGGGTACTTTTTTGGGCAAGGACACACAACTCTCTTACAAACTAACCGGTCACTCTTAACCGTACAATAACAAAAATGAATTTCGATTACAATCTCGATAATTCAGTGGCAATGATCAATGGTGCACAGTGGTAGAAGTCGCTGCAGCAACAACAGCACAACTTGTCGGCAGTGGGAGTAATCAATCAAAAGAGAGGCAATTATGTCAATCAGCCATTCTCTTTCCCCTTCATTCTGCCTGTCCATTTACTAATCGACTTGTATCGATGTCTAAGTGATGGCAATTGCGTAATGCAGCAGACCGTGGACCCGGCTCACTCTGTGCCTGGTCTGAAGTAGAGCAGTTCAGAGTTCGAGGCAGGCGAAAAAGGCAGACTAAAGCCTGACCATCATCGAGGCGCTCAGCAGTGGCGAGCAGTCAAAGTTGAGCAGTTATGCAAAACGTGACGCGACTCTAGGGCAGCCAGCGAAGAGTGAAGCACTTTCATTCAGTGACACTACGAAGTAGTAGCAGTAGTAGCAGTAGTAGCCTTTGTCCAATTCATCATCGTCGCGACAGGCAGTAGTAGCAAGGCTGTAGTTGCAAGCGGCTCCAGTTAATCAACTGACCACGGCCTCACTGAAATTGTGCTTATTTAGCATTCATTAGACACTGGCCGGCCACTGGCTCTCGAATCGATCACACTGTGTGGGGCAATTTAAAATGAAATGACTTCTACTTCTTCTTCTTCTTGCCACGCAACGGAGCTTTGACTTGCACGACTTTGCATTTGACTGCTGCTGCTTTTGCTAGCGCTGGCGTTGATGCAGGCTGCTTCAATTGCCTGATGGTATCGATTTGCACCAGCACTGAGCAAGTACATCGATCTGGTACAGTGCGGGTGCAAAACTGACTCGGTGCATTTTGGTGCATTTCGGTGCAATGCATTTCCACCCAGTCAGGCTGAACAGCCATTCAACAGCGACAGTGCTGGTGGCAGAGAAGAAGAAGCTTCTGCGACAAACGGGTCACATCATAATGGGCAGATAATGTGCAGAAAGAATGAATTTTTAAAGAGCTTTGCTGCCTTGGCAAATGCTGCTGCTGCTGATGCCTGTGATGTCCTGTGATGCTAATCGAGTCTATTGTTAGTGTCGATTATGTCAATTCAATTGCCCTGCTTTTAGTTGTCCGAGTGGCGTCACTTTAGGGAGTTCTCCCCTTTTTCTCTGCCGCCATCACCATCACCGCCATCACCACCACCACCACTATCACCAGTAAGTGGCCATTTTGTCTTCTTTATTTTTCTTTCACCAGCAGAAAATGTTAATCTTATTTGCCAAGTGCTACATGTTTGTTGGATCAATCGACAACATCTCAATGGAGAGATAGAGAGAGCATTTTCTCTAGTGGACAACCAATTCTTGACATGGCGCCACTCTTAAAGTGGGCGCCAACATTCCTTAGTCTCTCTTTCTTGCACTGTTTCTTCTTCTTAAAGTAGAAATGTAACGATGAGTGCAAACAGAAGGCTCGACATTATCAATTTAAATCTAAAGCAGTGGACAGATAGTTGCGATGTTGCTGCTGAAGCAGTAACATGCAAAGAAGCACAGATAAGTCCACTGATGAGTAGTGCCACGCAAATACACACACACACACACAACTGCTCGCCACGAATTAATCTTCATTGTCCGACAGGCAAAAAAGAGACAAACACACAAGCCCACAATAGTGCTGGTGATAGCCAGGGCTCAGTTGTTCTGAGCATAGTCGTAAGAATGGCCACTTTAGATAGAAATCGACCAGAAAGCACACAGACACTGACTCAAATTCAAGTGAAACTGAAACAGAAAAGAAGAAGAAGAAGCAAAAGCGAGACAAGGCTCATGCACTCGGTGATTGAATTATTTGGCCAATAAGAAGAAAGCAATGCTCGCAACAAAGCGTGTGGATGCGTCAAGAGAGCACAAAAAGTAAATTTGAGGAAAAAGTGAAAGTATGNCAAAAGCGAGACAAGGCTCATGCACTCGGTGATTGAATTATTTGGCCAATAAGAAGAGAGCAATGCTCGCAACAAAGCGTGTGGATGCGTCAAGAGAGCAAAAAAAGTAAATTTGAGGAAAAAGTGAAAGTATGCCAATTGCTGCGCAATTGTAGCTGTCCCATCGTTTATTGCGCAATTGAACTTAGTGGACGATGGCAAAGATAAACCTTGTTCCAGAAAGGAGAAAAGGATGTATCGATTGAGCGGCAGCATGCTGCTGCCCGCTTGCAAAAACAGCAAATTGCTTTGGCCTTTCTTTTGCGCTCGTTTTTCCATTGGTTATGTATACACTACCCGGAATAGAAAAGCTGTCAATAGATCAGCCAGATGTGCACTGCAAAAATTCTTTTACGGGGCAGAGAGGGAATGAATTGTACAAAAAGATTGTACAAAACAGTGACTGGAGATATCGGGAGAAAAAGAAGTTGGGGCGAAATGCTAACAAATTGACCTTAATTTTTGTACAAAGATTATTACAATTGTAACTAATGGCAAACTTCTTAAAAATTTAACGCAAGATACATTAAAGGAAAAACTACGTCTTCCTCTTCCTCTTTCTGAATGAGCCTAAAAACTGAGGGTAGCCCATTTTATTGATTACTAATCCTAAATATGATTGAAGCAAATTGACCATATTACATTTTAAAATAATATTAATGCTAAAAAGAGTCAATTTGTAGCAGCTCTTAATTGGCTACCAATAGAAAGAAACTAGAGTGGAGAAGAAAGTCGATCTGCTAAAGAAGTTCAATGCCTTGGCTTNAAGTCAATTTGTAGCAGCTCTTAATTGGCTACCAATGGAAAGAAACTAGAGTGGAGAAGAAAGTTGATCTGCTAAAGAAGTTCAATGCCTTGGCTTGCTAACGAGTTTGCAGTTGGCAGAAGACCGTTTTCTGTTGCGACAGTACATTCATCGTCATCCTCATGGTAAACTGCATTCTGCTGTAATTTGGGTAATAGATTGCCTTTTAATTGCCTGGTGAGTGTTTAATTAATTAGGGCTCTCGATTAGTGCCAGTGGCACTGCTAGGCAAAGAAAGGGAAAAAGAGAAAGATGGTCATTTCACTCACTTTTTTCTTCCACAATCCATTCTCTCCCAATCCACAAAGAAGTTTAGTCTACTGATTACACCAACCAAGCATTGCCCAATGAGATGAGGCAAACACCACACACAGACACTGAGACCATTGCGGCGNAAAAGGGAAAAAGAGAAAGATGGTCATTTCACTCACTTTTTTCTTCCACAATCCATTCTCTCCCAATCTACAAAGAAGTTTAGTCTACTGATTACACCAACCAAGCATTGCCCAATGAGATGAGGCAAACACCACACACAGACACTGAGACCATTGCGGCGGCCATTAGTAATCCGAGAGGAACTGAATGATGACGGCCAGCGGACAGTTGCAGTTTTGCCGGGCAGTTTGCCTTTACTTTTGCGTCGCTACTAACTTCTTTCTTTTTTCTAGTCTTATCGGCTTCTCCACCAAAAACAAGTTGCCGTTTAGAGGCATCCAATCAAATCTGGCAAAGAGCAAATATATATTGGAATATTACTGACTCGAATACAGCTACTCGGTGGAGGACAATTTGCTGGGGAATTGACAGTGTGTGCAGCCTCGAAGTGGCACTGCTCTGTACTGAAACTGCCAAACTTGCTTGCCTCCGCCGACTTTGCTGCCACCGATGCAACTGCCCTGGTATATAACCTAGTTAGACAAATTATAGAGAGATAAATATAATAAATAAACATAAAAATCACAACAAATAAGAACAATGCACAGTTAGGGAGAGAGTTACTCTGGTGGAGGGAAGTAGAGAAAGGGGAGAAGCGGGGGTAAAAAGAAGAAAGGAAAAGTGAGAGAAAGAAAATGCCACCGAGGCAAAGAATGAACTTTTTTAGCTCATTGAGCCATGAAATTAATTTGTCTCAAGTCAATACTCGCACTATTGGCTGAGCAAGGGAAGAGAAAAGAGAATGAACGAGTGTTAGTGCCAGCAAAAGTGAGTCTCATCTTCTCGATTGGCTGCCTCTCTCCTGGCACTGTCATTCGGGCAAGGACCAAACGGTTGCTGCCAACTGCTGATCCATTTTGCCGCGATAATTGTCACCATCAGCGACACTGAGCCGCAACGGTAATGAGTAGCAGACACACAGTGCTAGTTACCATCACTTCCAAACTGGAAACGTCAATGGCTATTGCCAACTGGTCAAACATAAAAGGGGCACATACGCACTGCATTTTGCAAAAAAGCTGCTCTGATGGAGAAAGTCGTAGTATCGTTCATGGCTCCAAATGAATGAATGAGCAAACTGTTGTATCAGTTGCAGTTGCGCTGGCAATTGCCAGCAATTGAGCAGTCACCAGCCCCTGGAGCTTCCATTTGCAAGTGGTCACACTGCCGCTGCTGCTGCTGCTTCAGTGCCTCCTGCATCAGTAGAATGGCATCAGCAAATCAGCAAATCAATTGCATTCTTTTCTTGCGGTGTACGACCATTGCTGGTGCTGCTGTGTCACGCACAACTGGGCCAAGATTGATGGAAAACAAACAGCCAACCAGACGATACTAGTGCACTGGCGAAGATGGGCACATGCACGGGGATCCAGTGCCATTTCATCGCTTCATTGAGCGAGGCATTGCTCTCCAATGAGCCATTAGTGGCCGCTCAAAGGAGGACAGTTTATGCGTTCAGTCAAACA